GCCATTTCTATGGTCCCTGACGATGCCTGCAGCATGGAGGGAAGGCCCGGAGACCGGTGCTCCTGGTGAAGATATGCATCTTGATGCGGAGGATGAGGAGCCGTTGCATGTTTCGGGAGGATTTTCTGAAACCCAAAAGGAGAGATACACATTGCAGCCTTGGAGAAAGGTCCGCTTTGTTTTTTAATAATAAAGGGTGACATGCAAGCTTTATTAACAAGACACGTAGGGGAAAAAAAAGGGCTCAAGGGATAACCCTGAAAAAGTGGTGCTAAATGTGTCATTTTTATGAAGTTGATTTTGTGAAGGGGCCCTACATGCTTTGGCAGGAGGTTGCAGCAGGTTTACAATAATTTGTAGGAAGATAGAAATGTTTTCACCCTGAAGTGAGAAGAAGGGCAAAGAAACCCGTGCTGAGCTGGTTTAGAGTCATCTTCTGAGGCGGAATCTGGCAGAGGGATGGATACCTGTCACTTTAGGTCGGGAGAGATGCGTCCAGCTTCCAACAGCCATGGACTTTGCTGGGGGGCTGATGTGCGGGCTGAGGAGCCAAACCCTCCATCAAGAGCCTGGATCCAGACGCAGTGGGGAAAGCTGGATTTTCACCTCCATGGAGTTTGGTTTGGAAAAAACCCGCATCTGAAATAGTTGAAAAGAGGGAAGACTGAGCAAGAGCCAGATGTTGGGCATCTGCCCCGAGGCGGGCGGGCTGGCAGGGGCACGGCTGTGCTGCTCTGAGCCTCCTGGCACGGCCTGGGACACGTCCCCCCCACCCTGGGGACTGGGCCCAGCCAGCATCCTCGATTTCTCCATCAGTCCGTAGCTGTAGTCGTGCCCAGAGTCGCCGCAGCCCACTGACCTTTCCGCTGGCACTTGCATTAATTCCCCTTAAATCCACCTCTGGATCCTCCGGCGTTTATTTCTGTTTCTAAGGCAGAGAGTGAGCAGTTGTTAGAGCAGCGCCCTGTTGCTAATCGACCTTTTGCTAATGGGGAAGTCACCCCCCCTGATGTCCAGGTCAAGAAGAGTGGTACTGATGTCTGCACATCTTTTTTTTTTTAATTTAATGCAATTGGCAGTCCTCAACCGAAAGCAACCACTGGGGGAAAAAAAAAAAAAGTTTTAAATTTCCCTGCTGATTGCTTGATTCCAAGTGTGCCTGTTGTTATATTTATATTTGTGTCGCTAAGGCAGCAGTTAAAAACATTCTTCGAATTAGGCACTGGTAAGCTGTGTGCTGAGCCAGGGCTCTCTCTGTGATGGCGTTGACACCAACACGCCTGCATCTGGGAAGCAAACCCTGAGCCTGGAGGACAGCAGGGTTTCTCTCCTCCAAGAGGAATGCAGGCTGAGACCACAGACTTTATGCTAGGTGTTATCCAGCGCTTCCCGCTGTCTTGAACGTATTGTTTATTCACAGCACAGAGGCCGAGGGTCTGGTCTGATCCTGACAAGCACGAGCATCCTTTATTCATGTTACAATGAGCAGGAGATAAGAATTGGCAGCACTGTTCGGGAGGTCCTTGCTGTACCCAGCTCTGGACATGGAAAGGAGAGGCTGGGCTCGAGGCTGGGATCTCCTTTGATATCTACAGGAGCTGATCAGTGAGAACATAACAGTTTGTTTGCTTCTGCCAAAATAATGAAGAAGATGAGGGCTGGCCTCTTGATGATGCACGTTATGAAGAGCATATTTGCATCAGCGCCAGCCAGCCTTACCTTTTCCCTCTTTTTTGTGCTTTGACTTTGTTCTTTGAGCCTCATTAAGAGAGGGAGGGGATCCTTTCCCAATTACAATGTTGACATGCCAGAGTCACTCTCCTTCCCTGTCGTTTTGCCTCTGTTTGTAAGTGATTGCACTTTGCAGGATGAACTAGAATTAAATCAAGTGAACTTCGATTGAATAATGCAAGCTATAAAGCAGCCCTTCTCCATGAAAAATCTCATTTCTTTTTTATTTTTCTGTTTTGATCCCCTAGCCTGCATGGAGATAACCTTGACGGATAATCCCACGGCTGAGGAGAGGTCTCGTAAACTGCTGGGCTGCCTCGTGCGCCGGCGGGAGCGTGCCAGTGCGGGCAGGGGCAGGCAGCTCTCGCCGACGGTGCAAACCCCCAGCCCAGGGAACCAGATTTCCCATCCTTGTGGCCGTGTCATTCCTTGTTTTGTCCAAAATCTGGAAGTAATTAGCATTAGTCGTGCTGCTTTCGGTGGCGCGGGGGATTCGAAGCCTGGGAACGGATGCTGTGACTGACCCCACGGGAACCCGCTCGTGTGCGTGTGGACTTGTAGGGTTGCGTTAGTGACGTGGTGCAGAGCATCCCAAGCAGGGGGCACACGTGGCCCGGGGAGTCCGCGTGGGAAGGATGTTACTCCAGCCCATCACACGTAAATCACGGGGAATTTGCTTGTCGGTGAAAGATTTCAGTTGAGCCAGGATTTGGTCTTCTTTTTTTGGTCAGAGATCGATAGCAAAGCTCCCGGTGATGTTGGTCAGAGGGGGATTTAGCGCAAGGCCTGTGTCCGGGCTGCGGCAGGAGATGTGATGGCAGCACGTGCGGCGTTTCCTCAGCCTCCGGTGGGGTTTCGGTGGCACCAGTCGTGCGCTCCCTGCGGATGGCCCTGGGTATCCCTTGGCCTCTGGAGCCTGGGCCATGTGGCATCAGTGCCCGGAGTATTTTAAAGGTCTGCGATGTACCTGTATATATTGAAGCTTGCTCTCTGGGTCCTCCCACCCACCCATTCCTCTCCTGGTTTTCGCAGGGCTGAGATGCGCGCACAGGGATGAAGCTGATGGAGGTCGCGGTGGGCGCAGGGGGTCTCATGCTGCTGCTGGGCATGGCAGTGGGGCTGGGGACGTGGGGACAGAGCCAGCTGAGGCTCTGGGCTTGCTGGAGCCGTTCCCGCATCTGCCAGCGCAGGGTGATGGAGGGGGCTCCCCGCCGAGCCGGGATTGCTCCCAAACTGGCTCCGATCATTCCTGCCCTCCATCGCTGGGTGGCCCTCAGAGCCTGTTTGCAGGGCTGGGATCCCCCATGGGGCTGCTGCGGGGGCACATGTCGTGGGGTGGCATCCCTCCCCCTGGGATGACAGTACCGGGATTGATGGATAAACACAGGATCAGGCATTTTCTGTGGTGTTTAAAGTCTCGGGTGTTGTGTATTTTAAAAATACATGTGTCCGTTTGCTCCTTAGCTCTAACCATGAAAGTCGTCCTGCAGGACTGAGGATGCAGGAACTGCAGGGACCAGTAGTTTGTGCAGTAAATCTCCTGCGTGACTCTCCAGCAGTAATTACTATGTGAAAGTAATAACCGAGCTGTGCTGAGTGCTAGGCCAACTCCCCCGGCTCACAGCTCCTTGCATGTTTCTCTCTGGGAGGTTCCTGTTTGGTAAATTAGATATTGTGCTGTATTTCAGAAAAGGTCACACGTAACCAGCACTGCCTTTGCTTTATTATCTTGGCAGAGCAGTGTAACCTCTGCCAGGGTACGATTGGATTTCACATTCGGCTCTGCTGCAGCGGCCCCGCTCCCTGCATCCTGCCATTGTGATTACGTTAGCAGCAGACTCTGCTTTCCTTTATTTATTGAGACATTAAAGATGCATGCATTTATTTTTACCATGTTCATAATTGCCATAAAAAACAGGCCATAGTATCCCCGGGCAGCTCTTTGGGAAGGAGAGCGGCCGGGGGGGCCGGGGCGAGGAGGAGCCGTGACAGAGAGGAGGCAGGACGGGGCTGCTGGGGCTGGTGGCTGTCCCCGCTGCTGTCCTGGCAGGGTGCTGCTGTCAGCCCAGGGGTGCTGCACTCCAGGGTGCCTGGCGGGGGCAAGGAGCGTCCCCCGGGCCAAGGGTGATGCTGGTGGGATCCCGGGTGGGATCCCTGCAGATCTGGGGGTACTTCGGGTGGGTGGACGGATGGACTGGGGTGCTTGACTTGTACAAAGAGACCTGCATCCCCGTGGGTCCCTGAAAACCAGGTGGGGTCCTGGCCAGGCCATGCAGATCCCACCGTGTCCCACCACGTGGCTTCCACTGTGACTCACCGTGCGTCTCCCACCACATCCCACCGTGCAGCTGCCACTGCATCCCTCTGCACAGCTCCCACCACATCCCACCATACAACAGCCACTGCATCCCACCAGGCAGCTCCCACCACATACCACTGTGCATCTCCCACCATGTCCCACCACGCAGCACCCTCCACGTCCCACCTCACAGCTCCCACCATGGCCTCCTGAGTGGTAACACCCCACTCTCTTCCCTACCCTCTGGTTGCTTTTTATGATTCCTTACCTGCTGCCAGCACCAGAAATCCAGGGCTATGTAATCTGAGGTTAAAAGATGGTGTTTCACTTGCAGAGCGAGTTAGTGGGTTTTGCTTGCAAATGACAAATCCATTGACTTTTCTCCCCTGCTTTCACTCCCCTCCAACTTTTAAGCATGTCACCCATTGTTTGCTTTTTTATTAATAACAGAGCCCCCTGTCTCTGCAAATGAAATGATGTAAAACAAAGAAAAGTGCCCGCATTAAATTCTCTGGCAGGGGATTACCTTGCTGGCATTTACATATCTATGCAATAAATATTTTAACATGTTAATTATACACTAATAAGAAAAATACCTTTTGAACTTTCAGTCAAATTGACACACAGAGAACCGAGTCCATCAGGGAATTGAAAGCAATTAGTTTTGTAACAGAGAGTAGTCACATTGTTTCTTCTCTGCAAATTGTTCTGTGGTCACCAGCCAGCATTTTTTTTTTTATTTTTTTTTTTTTTTTATTTTTTTGGGGAAAGCTGGTGGAAAGACCAACAGGGACTGGACTCTTCCATGCCTGGCTCCGACCCGCTCACTGGGGTCTGTCCTGTGCCGGGATGCTCTTTCCCTCCCGTGGGGTTTGCTGCTGGCTTTTGTCCTGGCCCTGCAAACCTGCCTGTTCCCAGTCATGGGGAAATCAGACTTGTAACCATCTCCCTTTTCTTTTCCTCCTTCCAGACTGAAAACTACTCCTTTGATTCCAACTACGTGAACAGCAGAGCTCATTTAATAAAAAGGTACGTAGGCTCGCTTGAAAGCGCTTGGGTTTGCCCAGCCAAATCCTGATTATTTAATGTTCTTCCTTACTGCGTTATATACTACTTGCTTTTTTTAATATGCAAAACCTTTCAAGAGTCATCATTTGATTTTAAAAACAGTATTTACTCCCTGTTAAGTCCCATTGCTCTTGGTCTGCAATAAAGGCAAGTCTTTTTTTCTTCTCTTTGGCTCCTTCGCACCGGGAAGTTGCAGCGAGTTAGGTGGAGTTCTGTTACCCTGACAACTTTCAAATTCATAGAGTTTCTTCTATTTGAATGCACAGGAAAAAAATGATAGATTTGGATGATGAGATCTCCCTGCCATGTGAGGCAGGGGAAAAGAAAAAAAAAAAATCTCATCTGGGGGCAGGTAATTGGGTTGGATACACGCTCACAGTTTCAGTTTGAATACCGAGGCAAAACAGCACTTTGCCAGGCTTTTTCCTTCCATGGGTAAAAAGGAAATCATCCGTTCAGTTGCAACCCGGCAATTACTCATGGGGGAATTTAACCCTTTGGATAAAATACGGGTATCCTCAGGGCTTAGCAGTGGTGAAGAAATGCCTCGGGGAGGTTCACGCCGGGGTTAGCCGGCTGAACCCCACCGGCTGGTGTGAAACGGGAGGTGAGCATCCCCCCGCGGGGCGGGTGGCCAGGCCTGCCTCTGCCTGCCCCGCTCTTTCCGAGGCAGGGAAAGGCGCTGACACAGCACAATCGATACTCATCAGGAGGCCGCCGCGGAGGGCGGGAGGGCTGTCTCCCCGCGCAGGATGCGGGCACAGGAGGTGGCCGGCAGCTCTTTGCCCACCTCCCCTCTCCTCCCCGGGGACCGACCGAGGTGTGTGGGCCAGCAAACCGGGGCTCTGCCCGTGCCCCTGCCCGGGGAGGGGGGGTCGTGCCCGGGGGCTCTGCAGAAGCCATCGCGGGTGTAACAGAGAGCAGGAGCCGGCCCTGAACTGTTGAGATCTGATCTGAACAGTAAAAATATCCAATTATCTTCCTGGCTGAGATCCCATTTGTTTACACCTTAAGAATATAAGGAGTAAGGGAGCTGCGAGCATATTGTTTAAGCAGCTCGGGTTCAGCTAGCGAAGGGCAGGTGTATTTGCCTGCGTGGCTCATGATGTTTAACGATGCTAATGCGACTGTGAGAGAGACGGCCTGCCTGCGCCACGCTGCTCCTCGCCAGAGAGTCTTCAGGCGTACTGAAAAAGACCCAAATCTATTAATCTTTCCTTGTTCGCACCTAAGATAAAGGCAAGCAGCGCTCCCGCCTGCCGCAGCAGGGCTTACTCCGAGGCTGTATTGTTTGGGAAATGCTGCTGCTGCTGCTTCCCCGAGACCTGCCCATCCTTTAGAGAAGTGTCAGCCGCGGAAACATGTCGTGTGGCTGCTGCATTACGGGCTGGTTCACTGCGGGGAAGATAAATGTGTTGTAACACGGGTTGCCTGCGCGCTGTGAACAGCAGCTCTGTGTAGGACAGCGTTTCCCCCCGCTTTCTACCTTTGTCTTGTATCTTAAGTACAACGGGTGCTGGGAACGCTGTGCAGACATCTAAGAACAAAAAAATATTTTCTGTAACATACTGTGGCATCATTTTCATCCTTTGCCTTTATGAAGATGTTGTAGCTCTTCTATCTTCGGTGAGTGAATCTCCTCAAATCCAGCACTTTAATTAATCTATTTGTACTTTTCCTGTGTTGTCTGCCTGCCTCTCTCGCTCATCTACACGCACACAAATGAATTGTAGATTTGCAGTGCTTTCTTAACTTAAAATTCTTTGATGTTGCCTGGAATCAAAGTCAGTGGCTTCAACAGGGACATCTTTATTTAAAAGGTAATGTTTGAAGGTTTACCAATTTATATGTATTTCAGAGCTCCCCCCTCGCATGCTTTTGCAAAGCATCGGATGGTAGGTGGTCTGCTTGGTTTCCGTGGAGACGCAAAAGGGCTTTTCAAAGTAATGAAAATCTCCAGCTCTTTGGGGCTTTGAAGCACAGGCCACGTCTTCCACCAACCTATCAAACCAAATCGGCCAGCGAGAAAGTTTGGGGCCGTGGGTGCAGGTGGATCCCCCGCAGTGGGTGCAGCTTTCCCGTGCCAAGGCTAGCTGTGGAGGGAGGTGCAGGGTGGGTGTCCCCCGGGACCCCCCGGGGGCTGTGCCACCATCTCGAGACCGTCCCTGCGGCTCGCTGCAGCCATCCCCCCTCGCAGGGCAGCGGGGAGCAGCGGAAGGATCCTGAACGCAGCCAGAAATGAAACTCTTCCATCCCTCCAGCCTAGGAGCTGGGTGCTGTTGGGTTGATGGAGCTGCTCAGCCCTTGGGGGAAATTTGGATGCAGCTCAGCCCTCAGGTCCCCCCAGCAGTGGCTGCGCTTGCAGGGGGTATCAAGGAGTCGGACTGTGTATCATACCTCCTTAAAGCTCTGTGAGCTTGGACCCAGAATCACCAGGTTATTTTTAAAAATAAGAATGGCATTGTCATTGTGAAAAGACATTTCTGTTTCTAGGAAGACTTTTGTTTTCAAACTTTTAAGTGATGAGGATTTGACCTATAACCTAAAAAATTAGGGTTTAGATCCTGTGTAACTTCAATATGAGGCAATGCGACTTCAGGGAGCCTAGTTATAGAAGCAGCTCATTTAATATATACTCTTGAAATTTCATTTTCAAATCCCGCTTTGCTCTCAGCTTCCATAACACCCACAGCAACCTGACCCACAGGCTCACACCCTACCCATGGGCGGAAGCAGCATTCGAGGCGGTGCAGGCTGGGTGCTGTGTTTTGGGGTGCAGTGGTGCCGAGCAAGGGAGGCACCCCCCCTCCTCCTCCCCACCCCCCCCTTCCGCACCCTCTGCCCCAGCCCTTTGTGCCAAGGGAGTGGTCCCAGCCCTGCTGCTGGGTGCTGGGGATGGCAGGGGACCTCCCCGTCCCCGAAGGGCACGAGGCTGGGCGGTGGCAGCCGTGCCACCACCGCAGGTCTCACCGCAGTGCGGCGGGGTGGCGGGGGCCACCTCGTCCCACCCACTGAGTCACGGCCGTGTCTCCCCCAGCAGCTCCACGTTCAAGGACTTGGAGGGGAACAGTCTGAAGGACAGCGGCCACGAGGAGAGTGACCAGACGGACAGCGAGCACGACGTGCAGCGGGGCCTCTACTGCGACACGGCCGTCAACGACGTGCTGAACACCAGCGTCCCCTCCATGGGGTCCCAGGGCCCTGAGCAAGGTGAGCCCCCGCCGTGCGCCCTGGGGGGCTGCCCCCCACCCCCCTGTCTCCCACGTGGCCCAGCCGGTGGCTCTGGCGCTGCCTGGGTGGGTGCACAATAAGGACGCTTAGCGCTCGCTGGGGATAACGCTGTACATCGTCAGAGTGCTGGGTAGATAGAAATTAATCTTCATGCCATGCCTGTCAGGTAAGCAAGCAGTTAGGATTATCCTCTATTTCACAAGTGGAAAACCCACGGCCCTGAGCATCCTCCTGACAGCGAGCGAGCGCGGAGCTGGGATTAGGGCGGGAATTAGGGACGCCGTGCCCGGGGCTGGTCGGTGCCGGAGCGCAGGCGGTGCGCCCTGCCCTGCCCCGCGCACGCCGCTCGCCGTCTCCGGAGCTCGTGCGCAGGCGCCGTCCGGGCAACGCTTCTAAAAGGTCAGCAGAGCGTGTAGGCAATTAGTCAGGCATCCCACGAGGGATTAGCTCAGGCCAGTGGGCGAGGGTTTGTATCATTTCCCCCGAATAGGCGGTGAGGTATCAGCTCTTACACATCCCCACGTGCAGGGGTGAAGTCCTGCTCCGAAACCAGACCGTTATTAGCTAGAGGAAAGAAGTTGGAGGAGTTCAGTTGAGCTGTCATTTGTACTTGGGCATGAATGTCGCTTTTAATGTCTGAGGGATGCAAACATCCTATGCAAACATCCTGTCTTTTTCAATTAAGAAGCCTGAATGCGGTTTGGTGCTCCAGCGCAGGGGAGCCTCGGGGCGCTTGGCTATATCTTGAGATAAGCTGTAGCTGAGGCTCAACTGGAAGCCCCACTGCTAAAAGACTTAAGGATATGAAAACAAAATGCTGTGATTATGAACTGGTCTTCAGCTGTTTAATTCAATTCATGGTAAACATCATTAAAAGCCTTTGTTTTGCTGTCATAAAAGAGTCAAACGGGGGAGAGAGAGTTCTTGCCATCTGCGCCGCTGAATGTTTTTTCTTTTTTCTGGAGAGAAGCTGATCGCTGTATTAATTCTCGATAGAGTCTGTTAAATGGCCATAGTTAACCCTGTAAGACTCCACGAGGAGGGGAACGTGGAGGTCACCTACCCATTCCACGCTGCCAGCCACGCTAATTGGAGAGGGATGGCATCTGCAGCGATAATGTATTTTCAGCCAACCCTACTGTGGCCAAAGATGAAAAAAATTAAACATTTATATAACTGTACAGTGGCAGTTTAATTCTCCCCGGACCGGCGCCGTGTCAGAGAATGCAGGCTGATAGCTATCATTTATTATTCTTCTATTACAAAGAAATGCTTTTTCATTTCGATCAGGAGAGGGTTTCCTAAGATGCGTTTGCAGTAAGGGATGACTGTAGGAACAAAAATGTTCATAATTGATTCCCATCCCGTTGAATGGTCTGAGCAACATCTGTTAATTTTTTGTCACATTTCTTCGTCAGAAAAACCAATCTCAATGGACTGCAGATAGGGTTTTACAGAGATTACATTTCTGATAAGTCTGCGTGCTGGCTCTGTTGTGCACCAGATAACAATGCAAATAAGTTAAAGAGGATGAGTTGGAGGCAGAGCTTGTCGGAGAAGTCGGGTGGAAATAAATACGGCCCAATCCACTGTAACGTGAACTCCTCATCGCATGTAGAATACCCCTCCAAAATCAGAAGCATCTCCAGAAGGCGACTTCCAAAGGCAGCCTCTCTGCCTGGCTCCCAGTCCCGCGATGGCCAGGGGGTTGGTGCTCTCGGCTGCGGTTTATTTTTGGGAGGAAACCGGCACGGCAGCGCTGTGTTGCCACCCGGCTGGGCCTGCAGGCCCACAGGCAGGTGTGCCGGGGGGGGGCAGCTCTGCCGTCCCGCGGGACCCACGCTGTCTCGTGCGGGGGGAAGGTTATCATCTGCAAGGTTATCGGGGTGTTTGTGGAGCAGTGAGAGGAGCGGCGGAGGCGGGGAGGTTAGCAGTTACTGTCACAGAAGCTGAAAAAAAAAAAAAAAAGGTTAAAGAGAATATTTTCAGAGCTGATTTGTCGAGCAGGGACTGCAGAAAATAATGAGGAAAATCAAGATGCTGAGATGATGGTGATAACAGCCATTCCCGCATGATTAAAGCGATGGCTTTGGCATGGTAATTTTTACCCGATTTCTGGTCAGAGTGGGAGGGTGGGGAGGAAACACAACAAACTCAATGCCAAGGACGTGCAGGAGCCGTGGGCTGAGCCCTGCCGCGAGCACACCGTCCGTGGCTGAAGGGCAGCCTGCAGCTGGTGTCCTCATGCTTTGCCTTCGCTCGCCATCCCTGCCTGAAACGCGTCTCGTGTAATCCCAGAGAGGCGAGTTGGCGGAGCTGTCGGAGTTTGCTCGTCGGTGCTAATGATCTCCTGCCGGGGAGCCCGGCGAGAGGCCCCCATGGCCGGGCTCTGCCGGGCTCGGGCCTCGGCTCGTAACGTCACGAGTCCTTCGTGAGTGGCCAACTCCCAGACTTCATCCAGGTAACTCAGGAGTCCTTACCTGCTTGGTGGGTAATCCTGGATCTGCCGAGGCAAGACGCTGGTTGGCAGAAATCCTTGCAGCTTGGGGGTAGAGGACAATCCCTCTGTGGTGGCACTGGGGAGTTAGTGTGGACCTGTCTGGCCAGCCTTCGCCTACTGAGATGCTGGATTTCCTGCAGAAAGAGTTAGGCATGAGGTAGGGATGAACAAGTTCAAGCTCCTTTAGTGTTCTTAAACCAGTGCGTGAGCCTGACTCTGGTGGTGAGTATGTGGCCATGGGAGCCCCAGGGAGCTGCTGCAGATGCTCAGGTGGCCTCCGGGCCCTCGACCCCTTCACTGCCCTTGTGCTACTCTTGGGTGGGAGTGACACCAGCTGCCAGTCCCGCTGGCAGAAGCCCTTTCTCTTCCTTTGGAAATGACCTAGATTTCCAGGAAAATGGCGAACTGTAGCGTGGAGGGTGTCGAGCTTTAGTGGGAAGCAGCAGGTCACCAGAAATACTGCCTGAAGCTCAGACACGTTGCTAATTTTGGGAGTAGGACTTCTGCCCAGTCCTTCTTTACCTCAGGATCTTAATTATTGATTATAAATTAATCAGTTGAAAAGATGGCTTTAATTGCTGTAATATGTACCCAATTTGGAGTTCATTATCGCCCAGAATTGTTTTCCATCCCCTGTTAACTGATACCAAGAGGGACACTGAGGAAGGTGGGCACCAGCAGCACTCCACCTTCTGCGATTTTTAACTGGTTTTCCGCTGCTGTTTAACTGTTAGTTTATTTGTGGAGGTGTTAAATGTTGCTAGAAGTTTATATGCAGTCCTTTCTTAATGGCGTCCTCAGCTGAACTTCCAAAGAGATTCTTTGAGAAAGGGAGGTTTTCAAGCGGCTGTTGGACCTCAGCGATGCAGTGGGTTGGCTGGAGAAGTCTGTTGCAGGATGAGGGTAAATCCTGGCGTCCCCCTTCGTATCTTGGCCTATTTCACTGCTATATGGGGTGGATTTTCTCCACACCCTGGTGTAACCTGGACTCAAAATGTGGCACTGGAGGAAACCTTGATTTCCAGCAAGGAGGGGAAGTGCGTGGTGGTGCCGGGCAGGGGCCCCACCACCGGCATCGCCTCCGTGGACAGCGGTGGGTGATGCCGGCAGCCGCGGGAGCTTTGCTGTTGGGCTTGAAGCTCATGACACCTCTTCCTCCCAGCAATGTGGGGAAATCTCAGCATGAAATGTTTTCCAACACTTCAGAGTGTGGCAGTGCTTTTCCTGGGAAATGGCAGCGCGGACCAGATGTTTCGCAGGGTAATTGAAAATTCCATTTTATCAGAAAGCATTTGCTGTCAAAAAGTTTTATCATTACTTCAACAAAGAGGTTGATTAGATCCCTCAGGACCTGAATTAGCATCTTTGAGGCTAGATACTCTGTTTTGTGATTCAGGTAGTTATTCCTCCCTTGGTTTTGCTCATACTGGGACTTTTTTTTTTAATTTCTTTGCCCTCTCCCAAACACAGTGTTTGTGCAGGTTTGGTGTGTTTTATTTGTGTGGATGTATATGGGCACCTGGATCTGCTTAAATATTTTCTATTACCTTTCTCACCTTGCCTTGAGCCAGAGCCATACTTGGACTCTATAAGTCATAGGAGCTCTTGCCAGCATAGAAATCAGAAAAGAACTATTTCAAATATGTGTTTTTAATGTTAGAAGCAACCAATTTCAAACTCATCTTAGTTCCCAGTGCCGGCCAGTATTTTTACCATCAGTTGTAGAAGGAAAATCGTTGGTGCAATGAGTCAGTGATTCACTGTTTAAGATAAAAATAGAATCCAAAAGAAAATATGAAAATAATAAACACACACAAATCATAAAAAAAGCTGGTGTTAGAAATAGTCACCACAGCCATAAAATAGTGAAAAAGCTTTAAAATCAAAGTGAGAGGGTTTTTAAGCAATGTCAGTAATGTGTCTCTACAGAGAATTGCTGCTAAAAGCATCACTTCCATTTTTCTGGTGCCAGATCAGCAGTAAAGGTTGGCGTGAAATGTCATCTGGAAAGACCTGATCCTGCATACATTTACACATTTGAGTAACTTTGCTCACATAGGTGGTTTAATTGTTTCTGAGTCTCATAAACTCCAGCAAGACGGAGGGTTCTTTGAATAGAAATGGGTTATATTTAAATGCTTACGTTAAGTCTTCTTTATACTATTGCACAGTATAGAAATAGGCTTGGTTATAAAGCAGAGCCAAGCACGTGATATTCACCGAAACTTTTCTTGCTGGTTGCATCCCAATTTATTCAGATATATTGTCATTTAGGGGATCAGGTTTTATCTAGAATATTCCGATTGGTTCTTATGCTCATCTCCATAGTATCTGTGTGCATTTCATACATGAATTGAGAACATAACTAATGGTATTAACTGGAGGCAAACACAGGCATTAGAAACTGTTGATTTTTTAAGCTGATTTCCAGCAGTCGTTCCACCTGCAACTCCCTTTTACTCTGCAGAAAAGCCTTTCT